AAATGCAAGCATAACCAACAGAATACAAGAGATGAAAGAGAGAATCTCTGGTGTGGAGGATACAATAGAGGAAATAGATTCATTAGTCAAAGAAAACACTAAAGCCAAAAAAGTCATAACACAAAATATCCAGGAAATCTGTGACAGCATGTAAAGGCCAAACCTAAGAATAATAGGAATAGAAGAAGGATAAGAATACCAATTCAATGGTACAGAAAATATATTCAACAAAATCATAGAAGAAAACTTTCCCAAGTTAAAGAAGGAAATACCTATAAAGATATATAACGCTTATAGAACATCAAATAGATTAGACCCACCCCAAAAGTCCCCTCATCACATAATAATCAAACCACTAAACATTACAGAATAAAGAAAAATTAAGAGCAGCAAAGGAAAAAGGCCAAGTGACTTATAAAGGCAGACCCATCAGAATAACACCTGACTTCTCAATGAAGACTCTGAAAATCAGAAGGTCCTGGACAGAAGCAGTGCAGACACTAAGAGATCACGGATGCCAGCCCAGACTATTATACCCAGCAAATTTTTCAATCACCTTAGATGGAGTGCACAAGATATTCCAAGACAAAACCAGATTTAAACAATACCTATTCACAAATCCAGCCCTACAGAAAGCACTAGAGGGAAAACTCCAACCTAAGGAAGTTAGATGCACCCACAAAAACACAGACAATAGACAACCCCATAGCAGCAAATCCCAAAGAAGGGAAGTACACATACACTACCACCAAAGGATAATAGGAATCAACAATCACTGGTCATTAATATCCCTTAATATTAGTGCACTTAATTCACCTATAAGAAGACACAGGATAACATAATGGGTATGAAAATAGGATCCATCCTTCTGCCACATACAAGAAACACATCTCAACTTCAAAGAGAGACACTACCTCAGAGTAAAAGGCGGGAAAAGACTTTCCAATCAAATGGACTTAAGAAGCAAGCTGGTATGGCCATGCTAATATCTAAAAAAATAAACCTCAAACTAAAATAAATCAAAAGAGATTGGGAAGGACATTATATATTCATTACAGGAAAAATCCACCAAGATGAAGTCTCAATCCTGAACATTTATGCCCTGAATACAAGGGCACCCACATATGTAAAGGAAACATTACTAAAGCTTAAATCACACATCAAACTCCACGTACTAGTAGTGGGGAGACTTCAATACCCCACTCTCACCAATGAACAGGTCTGCCAGACAGAAACTTAACAGAGAAATAAGGGATCTAGTAGATGTTATGACTCAAATGGACTTAATAGATCTCTACATAACAATCCACCCTAACGCTGGGTGGTGGTGGAGGCGGCGGCGGCGGCAGTGGCGGCGGCGCACGCCTTAAATCCCAGCACTCAGGAGGCAAAGGCAGGTGAATCTCTGAGTTCGAGGCCAGCCTGGGCTACAGAGTGAGTTCCAGGAAAAGTGCAAAGCTACACACAGAAACCCTGTCTAGAAAAACCAAAACAAACAATCAAACAACAAAACAATCCACCCTAACACAAAGGAATATGCCTTCTCAGCAACCCATGGACCCTTTCCAATCAAACAAACTTAAGAAGTGAAGCATATCATAAAGCAAATCTCAGCATATACAAAAAAAAAAAAACTGGAATAACCTCCTTTATTTTATCATACCACTATGGCTTAAAGTTAGATTTCAATAACAAAAATTACAGAAAGCCTATAATCTTATGGAGACTGAATAATGCTCAACTGAATCACCAATGAGTCAAGGAAGAAATAAAAAAGAAATTAAAGACTTCCTAGAATTTAGTGAAAATGAATGTACAACATACTCAAAACTTATGCGACACTATGAGAGCAGTGCTAAGAGGAAAATTCATAGCACTAAATGCCCACATAAAGAAGTTGGAGAAATCTCACACTAGTGACTTAACAGCACACCTGAAAGCTCTAGAAAAAAAGAAGCAAACTCACCCAGAAGGAATACAAGGAACATACCTTGTATAAACATAATAAAGGCAAATTACAGCAAGCCAACTGCCAATATCAAATTCAATGGAGAAAAACTCAAAGCAATTCCACTAAAATTAGGTAGAAATCAAAGCTGTCCACTCTCCCCATATCTATTCAATATGGTACTCAAAATTCTAAGTAGAGCAATAAGACAACAAAAGGAGATCAAGGGAATACAAATTGGAAAGGAAGAAGTCAAACTTCGTTATTTTGCAGACAATATGATAATATACATAAATGACCCCAAAAATTCAACCAAGGAACTCCTATAGCTGATAAACACCCTCTGTAATGTGGCAGGATACACAATTAACTACAAATAAAGTAGTAGCCCTCCTATATACAAATTCTAAATGGGCTGAGAAAGAAATCAAAGAAACATCACCCTTTACAATAGCCACAAATAATATAAAATACCTTGGGGTAACTCTAAGCAAGTGAAAGACTTTTATGACAAGAACTTAATTCTTTGAAGAAAGAAACTGAAGAAGATATCAGAAAATGGAAAGATCTCCCATGCTCACCGATAGGTAGGATTAACATAGTAAAAGTGGCAATCTTACCAAAAGCAATCTACAGATTCAATGCATTCTCCATTAAAATTCCAACACAATTCTTCACAGACCTGGCAAGAACAATACTCAACTTCATATGGAAAAACAAAAAACCCAGGATAGCTAAAAGAATCCTGTAAAATAAAGCAACTTCTGGAGGCAACCGTCCCTGACCTCGAGCTCTACTATAGAGCTATAGTAATAAAAACAGCTTGGTATTGGCATAAAAACTGATGTGTGGACCAATGGAATTGAGTTGAAGTCCCTGACATTAATCCAAACACCTACGAACACTTGATTTTTAACAAAGAAGCCGAAACTGTACAATGGAAAAAAGAAAGTATCTTCAACAAATGGTGCTGGCTTAATTGGATGTCAACATGTAGAAGATTGCAAATAGATCCATGTCTATATCCATGTACAAAACTCAAGTCCAAGTGGATCAAAGACCTCAACATAAATCCAGTTACACTGAACCTCATAGAAGAGAAAGTAGGAAGTAGCCTTGAAGGCATTGGCCCAGGAGACTACTTCCAAAATATAACACCACTAGCACAGATGCTGAGACCAACAATTAATAAATGGGATCTCCTGAAACTGAGAAGCTTCTGTAAGGCAAAGGACACGGTAAATAAGATAATAACAGCATACAGAATGGCAAAGGGTCTTCACCACATCTGACAGAGGGTTGATCTCCAAAATATATAGAGAATTCAAGAAACTAGACATCAAAATACCAAACAATCCAATTAAAAAATGGGTTATAGAGCTAAAAAGAGAATTCTCAACAGAAGAATCTCAAATGGCCGAAAGAGATTTAAGGAATTGCTCAACATCCTTAGTCATCAGGCAAATGCAAATCAAAATGACTCTAAGGTACCATCTGATACCTGTCAGAATGGCTTAGACCAAAAACACTGATGACAGCTTATATTGGAGAGGATATGGAGCAAGGGGAACACTCCTTCATTATTTACTTCACAGACTTGTACAGCTGCTTTGGAAATCAGTATGGTGGTTTCTCAGAAAATTAGGAATCAATCTATTTCAAGACCCAATGATACCACTCTTGGGCATATACCCAAGCAATGCTTAATCATACCACAAGGATACTTGCTCAACTATGTTTATAGCAGCATTATTTGTAATAGCCAGAACCTGGAAACTAACCTAGATGCCCCTCAACCAAAGAATGGATAAAGAAAATGTGGTACATATACACAATGGGGTACTACTCAGTAGTAAAAAATAATGACATCATGAAATTTACAGGGAAATGGATGGAACTAGAAAATATCATTCTGAATGAGGTAACCCAGACTCAGAAAGACAAACATGGTATGTACTCACTCATAAGTGGATACTAGATATAAAGCAAAGGATAACCAGACTACAACCCATAGCTTCAGAGAAACTAGCTAACAAGATGGGGAAACCAGAATGAGTATAGCTGATACACCAAAGCAAATAGTGACTCCGGTTATAGATCCCTCACTGCCTGAAGTAGAAGAGAGATGCATCGATCCCCCTGGGAAGGGGAAATAGATGAGATCTCCATGAGTAAACTGAGGGTGACAGGGGCAATAGAGGGTAAGGGATGGGGGATGAGAACATAAGGGAATGGGATGGTTGAGCTGGAACAGGGTTGGAGTGGTACAGCAATGAAAGAAATACCATTATAGGGGGGAGACATCATAGGGATAGGGAGAAATCTGGTGCTAGGGAAGTTCCCAGTAACCCACAAGGATGACCCCAGCTTAGACTACTAGTAATAGTAGAGAGGGTGCCTGAACTGGCTTACCCCAGTAGTCAGATCAGTGAATACCCTATCATCACAGAGCCTTCATCCAGTAACTGATGGAAGAAGATGCAGAGATCTATAGCCAAGCACCAGGCCAAGCTCCAGGAGTCTAGTCGAAGAGAGAGAAGAGGGATTTTATGAGCAAGGGGCATCAAGATCATGATGGGGAAACCTACAGAGACAACCAAACCAAATTAGTGGGAACTCATGAAATTTAGACCTATAGCTGTGGTCCATGGGCCTGGACTAGGCCCTCTGCATAGGCAAGACAGTTGTGTAGTTTGATCTGCTTAAGGGCTCCCCTGGCAGTAGGATCAGGATCCATCCCTGGTGCATGAGCTGGTTTTTTGGAGCCCACTACCCATGGTAGGACACCTTGCACAGCCTTAATGCAGGGGGAAGGGCTTGGACCTGCTTCATTTGAGTGTATCAGGCTCTGCTGACTTCCCATGTGAAGCCTTACCTTGCCAAATGAGGGAATGGGGCATGGGTTGCGGGGGCAGGGGGAGAGTCTGGGTGGGCAGGAGGAGGGAAGAGAGGGGGATCTGTGGTTGGTATGTAAAATGAATAAAAATTTTCCTAATTAAAAAATATTAAAACTGAAGGAAACTTAAACTCCTCTAATTACATAATTTCTTACCTCCCTCAAATCCCTCTCAGATGTGATGTGAAATCACAGTCCTACTGTTGGCATTTTTCACAGGAACAGCCTTGTCGCCTGGTAGCAGACTTATGGCTTGAGCTTTCATGCATAATTTCCCAGCTCAGCATATTTCTTATTTGCCGCAACTTTTGATCACAGACAGGGATGTACTGTGAGCTGAATCAATGGCACAAGGAAAAAGGTATTTGGAAAAATTATTCATATTTTTTCCCAGTCAACAACTGCAAACTGATGAGTAAACACAAACTTTGTGTTAAAGAAATAGAACCAAAGGGGCCAACTGTGACAAGAACAAATATGTTAGGAGCCTTAAAAGTCCAAGGGGATCGTAGAATCATTTTATTTTACCAATCCCTCCTCAGGGACAGAGTAAAGATTCTTTTTTCTGGATTTTCCATTTGCCATTTGTTAGGGCTGATTATTGCCTTTCACAGATCTCTCTAGTACTATGGGAAATGGTCCTGTTTGTAAACTCCCTGATCTAGTCTGTTTGTACAGCCAACAGTCTTTAGCTTGCCTCATCACGATCTTTTCTACTTTCCCAGACTCCTTGGAAACCCTCCTGTGAGGTTCTGTAGCATGTCTGTGGAGGGTGGATACATCTTCCCCGGGCCTCCTGGCAGTTGTGAGGTGAGCAGATTATGCATCCTGATATTCTCTTCCACCACAGATACAGAAACAGTGGAGTCAACAGCCATAGACCAAACCCTCAGAGACTTTGAGCCCCAAACTCCTCCTTTTAAGCGATTCATCTCAAGTATGTTTTTGAGCCAGAGTTCTGATTAATACAATGACAGACACTGGAGGTGGCCACATCAGAGGACAGCCAGTGGCACGGTGGACAATCAGCAGGGGTTGGAGGCTGAGGAAGGAAAGGGAAGGACTGAGGAAGAGGCTCATGGAGTGATTTGGCTAAGGGCCGGCGGGCTCAGGCTTGATGCCATCAGCAGTGGGAGGGCACATCTTTTCATCAGCTTTCCAGTTCTGTAGCATTGCCATGGTCACAGAATTCTGCTCTGGAACCTGCAGGTCCTTACAGTCGTCTGAGCTGTTTCTGAGAAGAGGTTCCTAGGCTCTGCTCCCAGAGACCACGAATCCATAGGTCTGTGTTGGAGCTTCAGAGCTTGTGATTTTGCAGACCCTCAGACGACTTTGGGGGAGCCAAGAGGAGCAGGGCCAGTAGGCCTGCACTGTTGTGATGCACCCCAGAGATACAACATCATAGGAGCCAAGGTGCTGCCAGCATCAGGAGCTGCCACAGGCTCTCTTACTAAGTGACACGGATGTAACACGGATTGCTAAATGGTCTTTTAAATAGAAAAGACCCAGAGCCAGATATATTGGGGTGAAAGCTGAAAGAGAAACAAAACAAGCCAGCCACATTCTTACCTCTACAAAATCCTCAGCCTCAAGAGAGTGAGTTCCCATTTCCTCATGCCTTACATATCTTTTTCTGCCCTGCCATCTTACTTCCTGGGATTAAAGGCGTGTGTGCTTCCCAAGCAAAGCCATGAGATCTCAAGTGTTGGGATTAAAGGTGTGTGCCACCACTGCCTGCTTCTGTTCCCAGTGTGGCTTTGAACTTACAGAGATCTGGATCTCTGTCTCCCGAGTGATAGGATTAAGGGTGTGTGCCAATCACTGCTGGCTGGCTCTGTCCTCTGATCCCCAGATCAGTTTTATTGGGGTTCATGGTATATCACCACACACAGGTTTTTCAGGACGAGAAGAATTTATCAAAGCATCCAAAAGGACCTGATGTAAGGGACAGTTTCCATTTCCATCCCCACTGATCATGAGGATTATCATCTGGGTTATTTCTATCATTATTTATTTTTGCATGTATGTGTAGTGTGAATTTGTGTATTTACATGATCCCATGTATGTGCGTACACATGCACATATATGCAAATGCTGGTGAAAAACCAAGGCAGACACTGGGATTCATTCTTGGTCACTTTCTTCCTTATTCACTAACTGAGCTTAGGACATGGGCTAGTCTAGCTAACCAACATGTTTTGAACTACAGGACATGGAGTTTCACTACACCCTCCTAGCATTTAGTGGGTTCTGAGACCCAAACTGTGGCCCTCATGCTTTTATCCACTGTGCTATCACCCTGTTTTGATAGAGTCAAAACCCTACACATCAGACTCTGGCTCAGTGTTCCCTGGCAAATGGGGTTTCTGAGGCATGATTACATATCCAGCACCCAAAGTCACACCAAAGTGAAGCACTTCGCCACTGAGTGAGCAGACACATGGCAATGCTCTTCTTATTCATATCCCTGTGGCGCTAAGTGAAAATTACTATTTGGGTGTAAGATCCTTCCCTAGACTCCAACAGATCAGGCTAAAAAAGAGTCAAGTCAGTCATGTTGGAGTTCCTCTGAATGAAGTTGAAATTAGCCAGTTTGTCTGACCTCAAAAACAAAGAGATAACAGCTACATTTTCCAAACAAATCAGTTCCAATTGGCATGACAATGGATTTCCCTCTGCCTCCTCTCTCTCTCTCTCTCTCTCTCTCTCTCTCTCTCTCTCTCCTCTTTCTTCCCCTCTCTCTTATTCACACACAGCAACCCAATGATAACTAATAATTTCTTTCTTACTGTCTCTACCTTACAAGAAAAGTGACTTTGAAGCTGAGTGTGAGAGCTCACATTTAATCCCAGAGTTCAGTGGACAGTACAAGAAGATTGCGAGTTTGAGTTTTGAGACAACTATGGCAACATCGCAAAACTCCATCTAACAACAACAGAAACCAAACCAACTTAAAAAAAAAATCTTTTTCTCTGCTCTCATTTGCTTCCTCTCTTTATAAGACCTACCTCCTCTTCTCAGTACAGTGGAACATTTTCACTTTTGGAGCAATGAACCCATCTTAGAGATGAAAATAGAACAATACAGATACTTAAGCTAAACTAGTATAAATTTTCCCTTAGGTAAGAGTAAGGATTAACATGAAGAATTTACAAAACAGTCATGGCACTGACACAAAGAGAAAAGGACAAGATCAAAGACAGCAGTGGTTACATTTCTAGTTGTGTGTGAGAGACCCTCTGACTTGGGTCCTCTCTCACACAAGTATGGGCGACATGAGAGAAGGTTAGCTCTGCCTCAGTCTAGCCCAGCCTGCTTGAATGCAATAGCTACATGCAATAGGAGCAAACAACCAGTGTGTATAATCTCACTTTAAATTCATGACATGATCCTTAAGACTATATCAAACTCATACACTGCTTTTGCCCACATAGTCACATCTATTTCCTCTCTTCAGACCTTCCAAATCCATCCCTGCCCATAGCTCATCCACTCTCTCAGCATTGACATGACTTCTGATTTCACTGAGAAACGATTCATGCTTTTCTCTCTCCATAGGAATGGGACTCATTTCATCTTCTTTCTCACTCATTATTCTAGATGAACTATTCTATTCAGGTTTGGCCCCCCTCTGCTTATGGTCAGATCCCATCCATCCTAGGGTGCTTATGGAAATTGCCCCATCAGTTCTCATTACTTCTCCTCTGAGGGCAGTTTTCTCTGTCTACAGACAGTGTCTTTCCCACAGGCAACATATACATCTGTTTGAGCTAGTCCTTCTTCAAGTCCAGTCCTCATTTGCCCTCTGGGGTGCCTGGCCTCTAATTTGTCTCTTGCCTCCTTGGCTGTTCATCTGGCTGCCCTCTGCTTGCTTCTTGCCTTCTTCCAAGCTCCAGGTTGAGCTTATCTCTTCTTCCACCCTCACTTCCAGTATCTGATGGTCAGTAACATAAGTGGTGACATCTCCCTAATTTTCATGTCTAACCCAGGTTTCTCCCTCAACTCCAGAACCACATATCCCACAGCCTGCCTATCATCTCTACTTGATGGCTATCTATCACTTTTGATTCAACAAGATCCGACTGTGATCCTGCTCTCCAAGACCACCTCCTCCACAATCTTTCTGTGCTGTGTGATGTCTTTCTGTATGCTGTGAATATGTGTTGCTCCTATTGGCTAATAAATAAATAAAGCTGTTTTGGCCTATGGCAAGGCAGCTTAGAGGCAGGCAGGAAATCCAAGCAGAGATATGGAGAAAAGAAAGGAGAGTAGGGAGAGATGCCAGCCACCGCCCAAGAAACTGCAAGATGTCAGCAGATCGGTAAATCCACAGAATATATGGCAATTCATAGATTGAGTTAAACTATAAGAGCTAGCTAGCAAGAGGCCTGCCATAGGCCATATAGTCTGTAAATAATATCAAGCCTCTGAGTGATTATTTTATAGGCGGCTGCAGGGCTGCGGGCCAGGCGGGACTGGAGAACCTACCACTACATTTCTGAAATCAAATATCTAGTCATATGGAAGCTTCTTCCTCCCATTTCCCATCCTTCAGCAAATACAAACACTCACATATTCCATTCCAGAACCATTTTTTTTTATTTAAGTCTAATCTAATATGTAAAAACTTTTTAAAGAATATACAAATTGGTATTGTGCTTACAAACATTCTAGACTTCTGGATTTGTTCTCAATGTCTTCAGTACAGAATTTCAATTGGTAAATACAGAAATCTGTAAGCTATCCAGTGACAACTTTATTGCACTTATCTAGCCCAGTAAGTGAATTGCTGATCTGAACTTTTAATTGGAAGAATTCGTTAGGATTGTCACCAGAGTGAAACAAGTGAGGAAAACAGTTTTCAGTGATAAAACATGTGTTGCTGATGTTGTTGTAACACATTGTTGCATATAACTATTGAAATAGCACAACGTATGTCCACAAAACAGGTCAGCTCACAGAATACAGAATTATAATTTGTTACCTGCTTTGAATATCAAATTCAATTATTGTTTTCACAGAAGTCATTATTGGTTTAGTTAAATCATTGCTTTTCATTTAGTAAATAAAAGAAAAAGTATTGAAAACTACTATAATGATGAAAAAAGCATTTACAGATTTTTAAGACTCATTCATTAGGGTGCTTCCTACACCCAGGAAGAAAGTGATTGGCTTCTGTGTCTTCTTGGGTCAGTTGTCATTGTGGAACCTTTTGCTGATTGTAATATGCTGCACTCACCAGGAAAAAATGATAAACAAGAAAACTACTCAGAGTGGCATTTGGCAGCATCCCAACACCACACTGGAGCCTTTCATTCCTGTCATTTAAGTCCTTATAATGTCATAGAAAAAGAGCTGGCTAACAATAACATAGTAAAAATGCTTTTAACTGTAAAATAATCTTTGAAGCTAAGTCCTACAAAGGTCACTGAGCAGCCATTCAATTTAATAATTGAAATGGTTAAAAGTTTCCACTGTGAATTTTTCTCTTAGTTTTCTGTGTCATGGTAAATAAGCACCATTATGCATTGTGGTAAATAGCACTACCATGCATCATGGTAAATAGTACCACCATGAATCATGGTAAGTAGCATCACCATATATCACGCTAAATAACACCATCATATATCATGGTAAATATTAGCATCATGCATTGTGATAAACAGCACCATCATGCATAACGGTAAATAGGACCATCATGAATTGTGGTAAATAGCACCATCATTTGCCTGAGCAACAACTACAGGTCTCATCAGGTGTCCCTCTCTCTTACTCCTCACATCAACATATCAGCGGTCTTATGTTTGTATCTCTAGAAGTTCTTGATCCTGTATCCTTTACCTGACACTATCCTAATATCTGGCACAAACTGGACCAAGAGGCCCTATCTCATTCTTACTCTTCTCCAATTTAATCTTTACAAATTAAATAAGCAGTCACTTTAAAACATAAGTGTCTCATGCCACATCCACATTTTGCTGGTAGTGTGCAAGTAGAGCTTGCAGATTAGATATGCATAACTAAATTAAATTCCCTCTGAAGTCTCACTAAATGCTAGCAAAGAACTTTTTTAAGAAGAGGGAAACCCACAGCTTGGGAAAAGGCATGAAAGAGAGAGCAACCCTTAAATCCTGGGGGATGGGAGACAGTGGCAGTGTAACAGCAGTAGAGTCCTGAACTACCTGATTTATGCTACAGGTCCTAAAGGCTAATACAATGCTGGCACAAAGGAAGAGGAGAAACATGAGACAACAGGGAACACAGTCCAAACTACCAAAGAGCTTCCTCTTCCTGAATCCTGATGGAACAACTCCTGTCACACTGATGGCTGTACCAAATACCCAAAAGAGACCTCAGGTTTATTCTGTAGAGGTGCTGGACTCTGAGGCAGACAGTACGGTCATAATCCAGGGAAGGGAGAGGACATGAAGCCTGTGTAATGGATGCTTGGGCTTCCCAGAATACTTTGCTAGGCTTCCATCCTCCAGAGAAAGAGAGGAAGAAATTTACTGAGGCCTATAGCTTGTTAAGAGGAAAGATTTCCCATGAAAAGTCCCAACAAGATGGCTTTATAGCTAGCTCAGAGCAACCAAGACACGCTCACATACTCAGTGTTCCCAGAAGCTTTTGCTCATTATCTTCTCCCATTTCATGCTGGTGTAACACAATACTGACCACCGGGTTCTACACAGAATAGAGATTCATCCCTTACTGTTCTGGAGGTCAGGAAGCGCGAGATCAAAGGGTCTTCATGTTATTAGGGCCTTCTTCCTGCTTTATTCCAGGCCAGAAAATAGAATGACAAGATAGCATGCCCAATAGGGAGGAGGGGAACCCTCTATCCATCTTTCCCCAGGAGCCCATGCCTGTGATGACTGACCCACCCCCATGGTAACCATTCATTTATGAGGTCAGAACCCTTGTGACCTAATCACCTCTTAAAGGTCCCTCTTCTCAACATTGTTAAACTGCAGACTAGGTCCTCAACATATGAAGTGTAGGGGACACGTTTGAATCATAGCAGTCACCTACTCCTTAATACATACACACAACAGAAGATTAACAAGTATTTAAGTAGAAATGAGAAAGAGACATATAAAGAAGATGGGACAAATAGAGGAGTAGGTAGAGGGAAGAAAGCTCTGAAATATTTCTGCAATAGACAGAGGAAAAGGGAAAAGGAGTAAAATGTATTTTTAAGGGAACGTGCAGAGAGCAACAACAAAAGGAACTGGGAAATTAAAATGACAAATGAAAACCTCAAAGGAAAAAACAGAGGGTAACAGATGAAATAGATACTGTGAGAAACAAATAGTAAAACAATAGACAAATAAGATAATACTACACTTCGCTTACAGAATTGCTCAAAAGAGGAAGAGATCAGCAGTTTGGGAGGGGACTAAGTCTGTGGCAGAATAATTTAAGAAAACATGTAAGAAAGACGAGTGTGAGCTTCAAGGCTGGAACTTCAGTCTCTTAGAGCCTGAGGGTAGTCTTGAACTTCCAGAGGGGATGTTAAAGTCAAGTTGTATTTATAGGATAAAGAATCAGCACACCCCTGGTCAACAGCAAAGCTGGGTGGAAGACAATAAGAAGTAATAGAGGGGGACATCATAGAGTATGGGTGATATGAAGGGGGGAGGGGATAATGGGGGGGGTTCCAAGTGGGGAAAGCAATGGAAGCATCAAGCAGGGGGTTGGGGGAGAGATAACTAACACTAAGAATATTTGTAAAAGATACATGGACACCTACTATTTTATAAGGTTCGTGTGTGTGTGTGTGTGTGTGTGTGTGTGTGTGTGTGTGTGTGTGTGTGTGTAATTGGAGTTACCCTACTCAGGGGATTATATTCATCCTTGAACCAATAAAAAACCCAGTGCCAGATGTGGGACGTGTGATACCCATTGAGTTGGTATCCAGGGCTGTCTCCTAGATTCCCAAAGCAATACAGGATATTGCCACTGATCTTGGTGACCTATCAGAACTTGACAGTAAGACCCTATTGTGAAGACATCACACACTTTGGTCACAGGACATGGAGAAATCAAGTTGGTACTGACCAGGAAGCTTCCTCCCCGCTGCCTAGCTTTCCTAGTACAATAGTGGTGTGAATGTTATATAGGAATGAAATGAGAGTTTTCTGATTTGGAGCTAAGGCCTCCTCCCATGAGAAGAAACTCATGCCTGGCGGTGTAAATCTGACCAAGAACCCATGGCTGGAGGGCCCAGAGGCCCCAGGGGTGAACCTACTTCTATTATCTTGCTAAATGAACATAGCATCAAACTGCCTCTAAGTTTGTATCTCTCTGTCTGTGAATTAGTGCAGCTCTGAGACCTCATCGGAGGGGCTTCTTTATGAACTGGATGACAGCTAACACAGAAACTCATGCCTGGTTGTAGTTCAAAGAATGAGTGTCTGTGGAGAGTTCATTCACAAATGCTTCAGGGACCACCGAGAAAGAGGACCTCCAAATAAAGAACTAGAGGCCAGGGAGGAACAAATCAGTGTCTTCTGGACATTACAGGACCACTGCATTCATGAAATTACGGCAATTGTGGTTGCCTGCACAACATCAAACCAGTCAACGTTCCAGCATGGTGTTGGGAAAGGGCTCATGAGTCTTTACTTTTGCCTGAGGAGCTCCTGATGATTGATGACTTCTGGGTTAGGGAGAGTTAGCATTTTCTTTAAGTGTGTGGCCTCTGGTAGGTTGGTTGTGCTACAGTTGGTGTTCTATACCCTTGAATATATGTATAACACAAAACGGCCTCTGTGGGTTAAAGAAAAAAACAAGAAGTAGAAGAAAACCTGAAGCTGTATTGAGAGTCTGAAAGTCTTTGCAGCCACAGACATCCAGGGAAACAGGAATGTTAATCAAGAAGCCTGGTGATCTGCATTATCTGTTGGGCCAGGTCACATCAGGTTCCTACAACCAGGGCTGGAGCTGGCTAGTAATCTAAATGACTTACAGTCAGGAGGTCCCCCAAGTTCCCACAACTAGGACTGGAGATACCTAATAGTCTAAATGACCTTTACATTATCTATATATCCAGGGGTTCCCCTAAGCTCACATAACCAAGACCAGAGGTGGCTAATAGGCCAAATGACCTCTACACTATCTGTATGACCTAGACTGGGCCAGGCCCTTCCCTAGGCCCTTAAGATAATCCAGGTAGTAGATCTCTAGAGCCCATCTACTTGGAAGAAATGACATGTACATTGAGTTGGGTTTTCATGTAATTATGCTTTCTTTGGTATTGGCCTAGGCCCTTAAGCTAATCCAGGTAGTGTATCTCTAGAACCCATCTACTTGGAAGAAATGACATGTACCTTGAGTTGAGTTTTCATGTAATTATGATTTCTTTGGTACTGGGGATTTTTTTCTAAATTATACTGGAAATAAGCCCCCTGGCATCAGACTCCCCAAGTTCAGTCTAGGTTGAGGAAGTCAATCTGAACTGGGCTTTCATTCTCACCTCTTTGCAATTTGCTTCCCTGTCTGGACACCTGCAGGGTCCTTCTCAAAGTTGGGAGGGGTTGGGGTAAAGGGAAGACCTGGGAGAAGTAAGGGATGATTATGATCAAAATGTACTGTAAACATATACAAAAAATTTAAAATAATTAATAAAACATATTAGAAAGAAGACAATGGGACCTGCTCTTAAAATCCAGTTGGTAAATTATTTCCAGCTTAAATACCCATATAGGAAAAACACAATTCAAGTATAGAGATGGAATAAAGACATTTAGCATATAAAAATTTTAAAGTTTACCTCCTGTGAAATGGTTATTGCTTCGAGAAAAAGCAAGAAAAAATGTACAAGAAAAAAATTAATCCCATAATTATAAGTAATCCCAGATTGAATGGATTATGGAATATGGGAAAGATACACCCAAGTACCAGGACAGAAGGAAATAAAGTTGTACTACCCCAAGCCATGGACACAAGAAGACACCTGTAGCTCCATTTGAGAATAGAGGCAGTTTTCCTCTTAAGAAGGGCTGGAGACTATTTCCTCCAGCAGAGCCTAAGCTTTAGTGATTCCTCAATTATATGCCCAAGTTACTTGCATTTGGAACTTTAAAAACTTTTTTTCTGAGAAATTACTTTGTTATGAAGCCTCGAATGGCCTTGAACATGGTCTTTCTGCCTCTGCTTCCCAAGTGCTGGGATTATCACATAGACTACCTTGCATTTGGTACATTGGTACATGGTCAGGTACATTTAATTTTTAACCCCACTTTGTTCTAGTAAATAAACCTTTTAATTACTGTGCACAGTACACACAGAAGACTGCACAGTCATCCATGATTCTCCCAAATAAATATATTCAGCATCTGTGAGCCAAATCCAAGGCCCAACTTTCTCTTCTCAAGACCCATCCCCACAGTATATTCTTTATTTCACTGCCTCTCTGATTTACTTGATAACATAAAGATGTATTTGTGTATTTATCAGACTCTTCACCTGCAGGTTCTTTACCTCTTCTTCTCAGACTTGTGGATTTCCTCACAAGTTAAGTGCATTGCCTCTACAAGTTGCCATACAAACAACACCACCATGTTTTGTACATCTCTATGTCATTATTGTTAACAAATTAATGGAAGTTGGGTGAACCCTAGTTCCTGCTGGGGTTCACATATGCTGTGGATCTCACAGTGGGCTTCCAGTGAGACTTGGCATGAAGAGGTGACCAGCCTGTAAAGTGGAATGTGGACATAACCAGACACTGGTCCTGATGGAAGGCATTTAGTGGTTAGAAGAGGGTAACATAGTGGCAGCCAGTGAGACTTGTGTCTGATCCATTTGCTGTTGACCTCATCCCAGATCAGAACACAGCCTGGAGCACAGTCTGAACCAATAGGTTCACTGAAGACACTGTCTGCAGGCAACATGAAATGAAGAAGTTGCTTCCCTGCCTCCTTCATCTGTCTTTAGCCTGTTAGCTGTGGTTCCTGGTGGGGCAGACAGAACCCCTAAGAAGCGGGATGGGGAGGTGGAAAAGGTCAGCAGGTTGTTATGTGAAGGGTCACCAGGCTTGCTTATAATCACATAGGATACAGGCTGGGAACTATCTGAAATGCTTGAGGGAACATCACTAGGGTTAGACTGAAAATAGTCAGTTAGATAAAAGCCAGAAAATGCCAGTTATGTTCAAAGTACAAGTTAGGGCTGGAGACAAGAGATAGGCAGTTCTCTGTGAATCACAACATCCAAGGTTTTAGATATACCCTATCCTCACCTGAACTCATTTCTTCCCTCCTATAATGAGGATTGAGTACTGCCTGAGGCAGGGACATTGTCAGGCTCCCAATCAACACAGCAACTGACAAGGTCAGGTGATCAATAAAGATGTGTGTGGTGAATCAGTGAATAAACAGAGGAATGGAATCAATAAACAGTTTTGTAAAAACTCAACTCCAAATGGACAAAGGACCTCTACATATGATCGGATACCCTGAAACTGCTACAGGAATTAGTAGAGGCTTCCCTTCAGCATACAGTCACAGGTAAGGACTTACTGATTAAGACCCTGGTAGCACAGGCTATAAGACCAAGACCCAACAATGGAGATCTCACAAAAAAAAAAAACCCAAAAACATTTCTGTACAGCAACAGAAACCATGAAGCATGTGAATAGGCAGCCCATGGAATAAGAAAGAAAAAAAATTCAAATAAAAATAATGAAAACAGGAAAAGAAGAAACGGTTGTGCTAAGTCTAAAGAAGACATTTATTTTTTTTCAAATTAGCCTAATTATTTATTGTTCTCCAAAGATCTTTGTAGATGGTATTCTTTTTTTTCCCTTTTATTTTATTTTACAATACCATTCAGTTCTACATATCAACCACGGATTCCC